CGGCACACTAGTGTGCCGCGGCACAGTGGTTGAAAAACACTGCTCTATAATATGCAAATAGTTGCTTTACTTTGTCAAGATTCTGTCCGTGGGTGAGGAAACACAGAGGAAGCTGCTCAGAAAAGACTCCACCTGTCTTTCCTGATTTGGGGGCCTGGCATGAAGTTAAGACAAAGGTGTGGGGGTACAGCCTTGATGTCACAAACACTTCCCCATGTTTGAAGTTGGCTGGTTGGCACCCAGAATCCCCCTGGGGGGGGGGAAGAAAAGAGGAGGGAGGAGGAGAGAGGGAGAAGGCAAAATATGGTCTACGGAAAGCGGAAGAGGAAATGATAGTAGTTGTGTGTTGATGGTAAGAGGAATTGATATAACTTTGGATAATACAAAACAGCGTCTGTTAATATGTGATGGTCTACTTGTCGTTACTTATATGAAAATAAAAGCGAAAGAACTTTTAAAAAAGAGAAATCCACTCTGCGGAGGCTGGATTCTGGGCCCTGGGCAAGGGGAGGCCGGAGAGCAGAAGCCCACTTCTGTCCAGTGAGGCCCAGGGGAGAAAGAAGCAGGAGGTGCCTGTGGGAGGCGCTCTTCCATTGGCAGCCCAGCTGTTGCTAAAGCGGCTCCTGCCCTTGCGGGCGGCTTTGGGGGGGAGCGAACTGGGCCCTGAAAGCTGAGCCTGCCAGGGGTGGGGGGCTGGGGCTGGGCATCTTGGTTTCTCTGCCAAGCGGGGAGACCCGATCAACACATACCCTGCCTGGCTGCTTGAGGGGGAACCCGGCCGTCTCAGTCTGGGGGAGGGAAGGCGGGGGAGGGGGGAGATGCCTGTGTGGCCACTAATCGCCTGCGGTGTTTCCAGTTGCAGGCCCTGGTCTTCGCGCAGGAGCCCAGCTGCAGCCCCAGTCAGTTCCTGTCGAACAGCAGGTGCTGCAGCAAATGCCCACCAGGTAGAGCGTGGCTAGGGGCAGCTGTCTCTTCCCCAAGCCTTTTATTCGCCCTGCCCCTCCCCCTGCTTCAGGCGGTTCCTGAGCCCCCTTCTGCTCTTCCTTGGTGGGGGGGAGGGGGCAGAAGCCCTCTCCCCAGCAGCCCCTTGGTCCCCCCACCCCGGCGCTTCTCTGCCCCTCGGTTGCTGATGCAGAGAGGGGCCCCTTGGATGCCTCCAGCGCTGCCCGTCTGGGCTCCTTCCCCCCCTTTGTAAAGTCCCCTGCTGGCCCCTCTGAGGGCCCCCCCTTCCCCACAGAGGGCTTCCTTCAGAGCGCCACCCTCCCCCCAGCCTCAGCCCGGCCTCTTTCCTCTTCCAGGCCACAAGGTGGCAGCTGCCTGTTCGGGGGAGTCGAATACCACCTGCACCCCATGTGAGGAGGGTCACTTCCAGGCCAACTGGACTGGGGAGTCTCACTGCACCCCGCTCCACCACTGCCGCCTGAGTGAGTGCAGCTGGGGCCTCCCTTTGCTCCACTGGAGCCATCTTGCCCAGCAAAGCCCCCTCCCTCCCTCCGCATACCCCTCTCCCTTTACGGGGTCCTTGGCGGCCTCTGAGCTTGGCTCTTCATCAGTGAACAGCAACCTCATTGATGATCTTCCCTAGTTGGGTCACGAAACGCCTGCGAGATAAAAGCCGAGCCCAGAAAGCCCCAAGGACCCCTCAGGCCAACCCTCAGCTACAGAGACCTCTTGGGACCCTCCCCCCTTTCAGGTGCTGGCCTGCTTGTCCATCGGAACGGGAGCAAGGAGCGAGACGTCCTCTGCCGTTGCCGGGAGGGGACCCACTGTTCCAGCCACGAGTGCGAGACGTGCCTGCCCCACACCTCCTGTGGCGCAAGGGAAGGGGTCCAACGGGAAGGTGAGGGCAGCAGCCCCAGGGCCTCCAGTTCGGGTGGAGGGCTGCCCCATCTGGCTGCCCAAGGACCCCACAGGACAGGGCAGGGGGAGCCCCCACCTCCACCCTCTCTTCTGCTGCGGGGGGGGGGGTGAGGAGGGGGCCTGGAAGCTCCTCCTGTCCTTAGGAAGCCTGGCATGCACCCGGGCGAGGGGAGGGGCTGGGGGGGGGCTGGTGCAGGATCGGAAGCAGGGGGGGGGCACATGGTTCCAGCTTGATGGCGACTCTGTCTTGCGTATTTCCAGGCAACCACGTAAATGACACTCTGTGTGCCCCCTGCTCTTTGGGCCACTTCTCCAATGTCTCGTCCTCCACAGCTCGGTGCCAGCCCTGGAGCAGGTATGCCAGGCGGGGGAGCGTCACAGGGTGGCCCCTTGAAGGGCCCAAGGGCAGCGCAGGCTGGGCAGAAGGCCACAGCGTTCCTCCCTGTGGGCCGAGAGCCAAGAGGATTGCCACTCTGGCAGGCGATGAAATGGTGCCTGATACCATCCGTCCCTGGCAAAGCCCCTCCCCTCCCCCTCCTCTCAGAGGTGCTGCAGGAAGCCCAGGGCCCCCTTTGCCCTCCGCCGCCTGGCCAGAGCGCGCGGCTCCTGCCGGATGTGCTTCTGGGTGACCACACAGCCCCGCCCTCTGGCCTGGCAGAGCGTGCGGTTGTGCTCTGCTGCTCTTCTGCCTCGGCTGGAACCCCCGGGGGAGGCCTGGCTCTGCTCCGCAGCAGCAGCGGATGCTCTGCGATGGGCCCATGAGGGGGGGGGGGAGTATTTGCATGCCTTCTCAGGCCGCTCTGCCTTCGCAGGTGCCAGGAGGGGCAGGTCCAAAAGGCAAACGGCACTCAGGCAACGGACGTCGTTTGTGGTAAGCAGAGGCCCCTCAAGCAATGGGGAGGGGGCGGGTGTGTGTGTGTGCATAGAAACCCAGCTGTCAACCTGCCTCCTAAGTGCCCTGCTGTTCGGGGGGGGGGTCTTGGCCCAGAGGCCGAGTAGGGAAGCCCATATTGGGGGCTGCAGCAGGCGCCCCCTTCTTCCTCTTCTCCTTCTGCTTCTTCTTCCCGCAGAGGCCTCCCCCTTGAAGCCCCCCGAGGCCAGGAAGAGCCACCTGCTGCCGCTGCTGCTGCTGCTTCCTATTGCCTTCCTGCTGGGGGCGCTCCTTTTCCTGTGGCATCGACGTGGCAACTGTGAGTGGGGGGGGGTTGCCTCTAGGAGAGCCCTTGGGGTTCTCCATTCGCAGCCTTTCCTGGGCCTGGGGAGGGGCTGTTTCTAACCTGCCTCAGCCGGTATTCCTTGGATACCTTTCCTGTGTTCGGACCCCCCCAGGCCCCTCATGGGGGGGGAGCAGGAAGCCAGGGGTCCCTGGGGGGAGAGCAGGAGGGTGGGGGGAGGCTTCCCAGTCCAGCCTGAGCCGCAACTCTGTCCGTGCTGGGGAGGCTGGGGAAAGACTCTGCCACGTGCAGTGGCCTCTTCCACCTGCTGGGGAATCCTTGCTCCAGAGCAGAGCTCCAGTGCTGGGTCGAGGGGAAACGGGTCGCAGGCCTCCGGCTCCCTCCCCTGACGGGCCCAGTGGCCCAATGGGTGGAGCAGGCCTCCTCTGCATGGTCCCGCAGTTGATGTCTTCTTTCCTCCTGCCCAGGTCCTCGGAAGCGGCACCAGGATCTGGTAAGTGCCCCTTTTTGTGGCCCTCCTGGGTGGAGGGGGGGCCGGGGCCAGACCCCGGGGCCAAGAACAGCACCTGGGGCTGCAGTTCCAAGTACGGCTCTGCTGTGGATGATGGGAGGGGGGACAGGATGGTGCTAGGGGAGCTCTGCCAGCAGAGCCTCCAATGCCCCACTTCTCTTGCAGCCCCCGGAGCCCACCGAGAACGAAGAGGACTGCCCTGCCTTCCCCACCCAGGAGACCCTGCTGGGGGAGCAGGCGGGCATGCAGGAGAAGGACTGCCATCTTGCCCAACAGGAGCAGGTCTGACCAGGAAGCCACGGGGATGCCAGGCCAGCTGCACAGCCGAGCCACCCGCCCACCTGGTGCCTCTCTGCACCCCGTGCCCAGCAGCCTTGACAGACTCCCCAAAGGGCAAAAGCTTTCCTCCAAGGGCACCTGGATCCTGCCGCCAGTTGTACCAAGCTCTCTTCCTGCGGAGATCCCGGGCACCCCCGGGCAGGGGCCCTGGGTGGAAGCAGTGCAGCCTGTGGGCCGGATTGCCCCTCCTGGGAGCCCAGAGGTCTTTCTGCCCATCAGAATGACTGCACTACGCAGAGACGAGCAGGAGCCCCAAAGACTGGCATACTGTAGCCTCCCAGATGTAAGGAAAGGCTGTGGCTCCACAGAGCCCCCCCCCCTCTACTCCACCAAGATCTGCTACCTCATGGGGAGCTGCAGGGAGCCTTTCTCCTCTTTCCCAGCCCCACAGAACGATCCGGGTTGGGGAGCAGCTGAGCTGGGCTCAGGAGAAGGGGGCTGGGGACAAGGCCTGGGCTCTGCTACGCAGGCTGCCCCTTCTGGCGGCTCCTCTCTGCCCTTCAGGGGAGGAACAATCCCAGCAGGCCGAGGTTTGAGTCAAGTGTGGGTCTCAGCCAGGGGAGGGAAGCCCCCAGCCCCCTCCTCCCTCGCCCAGATCTGCAGATGGGTTGGCTCTGCAGGGCTTCCACTGAACCCCGAAGCAAAAGGGGGACAAGGGAGCAGGTGAGTTCTTGGGAAGGCAAGTCCCGGGGGGGGGGGGGAAGAGTTGTCCTTGGTGGTTTCCTGGAGCAGCGGCTGGTCCTGCTGGGTGTGGGGTCGTTGGTGGCAGGCAGCTCTCCTGCCCACACCTGCCCTCCCAACATGGTTGGGGTTTGAGGTCGCAGCCTTTGGGAGGCCTCCGAGTCCCCCTTGCTTTCCCACCTGCGTGTTTCTCGGACAGCAGCTCTGTTGGACTTTTATAAATCTGACCTTTGGAAAAGCAGTTCTGTTCTTGGGCTGATTCGGACTAATGTGGGGGGGGCTGCAACCCCCAAATGTGCTTTGTCCCCGGGTGGCTTCTCAGCCTCCAGGACTAGGAAGCTGGCAACGGGCATCGTCTCCAGAGCGGCTGGAGTCCATGGGTGTCAACCAACAGACCCCGGAACTATGGGGAGGGGGCTTCCAGGCCAGTCTCTTCGGTTTCTTTTCTTTTTTAAAAAATATTTTTTTATTTCCATTTTCATAACATGCAATCACATGTATCCTATCCTTCTTTCCTTCGGTTTCTTGGCCCACGTGGATCTGGGCAGGAGGGAGGGAGGGAGGGAGGGGCAGCTGAGTCACCCGGGGGGGCTTTCCTTGGAGTCCTTAAGGATTCGGCCCCGCCTTTCTCTAGAAAAACTCCAGCCTGATTTACAAGAAACGGAGCGCCCGAGAGGCTCATTTTGAGGAAATGGAACCGGGGGGGCGTGTTTCCTCTCGGCCCCACCCGCCCTGCTGTTTGGGGACGTTTCTTACGCCCCCGCCCCGCTCCCCGCCGGCTAATACCTCGAAAGGTCACATTGGCGGAGCTGCTTTCAATTCAGACGGCCAGGTCGCCCGCCGAGCCAGCAAATCCGTTCCGCCGCCGCCCCCCCCCCCGGCGTATCCTGTTGCGAGGCGCCTCCTGCGGGGACAGCGGCCAACCTGCAGGGCGGCCTTGTCTGGGGATCCCGGGCTAACGGGGGTCCCGCCGTCGTTGATCGCCGGTCTTCTCCGCCTCGTGGATTCTCTGTGGCCACCGGGGGGCGCCCGCAACGCGCGCAAAACGGCCCGAGCAGCCGAAGAGCGCGCCTGCTCCCCGCCGGGCTCCAGCGGGAGGGGCGGCGGCGGGCGCTGGTTCTGTTCGTGTGGGCATCCTGCCTTACGGGCTGGGGGGGAGGTTGCCTAGCCCTGCCCATCCCTGCCGCTGAGGGTGCCCCGACCCGCTTCGCCCTTCTGGTTGAGGGGCTGCAGGCTGTGGGGGCTTCGTGGCAGTCGCCCGTTTATGGCCTCCCCTCCTCACCGGCTGGGGCTCCATCCGCCCACTGAGCGCCTTGGCTCCACTCTGGCCCGGTTGCTGGTGGCCTTCGGTGCTAAATTGTGAGCTGCCCTCTGGGTGCGTCCTGCGCCTGCTCTGGTCTCCGTGCATCCCTCTTGGGCCAGGGCGGCCCTGTCTCTGGGGGGTTCCCCCGCCCACGTGCCAACAGCAAGGAGATGGCCCATGCCCCTTGCCTGCCAGCCTCCTCTTCTGCTGCGAAAGGCCGGTGGGCAGGGTGCCAGCCCAGGGAGCGGGCACAGCTGCCAAGACATTGGCGGGGGATTCCGTCTTTGAGGTGGAGGTTCTGCCCAGGTCTCAGCGGCCTCCTTCTGTGGACTCGGAGCCCTGCAAGTGGGCATCGGGCACCATCCGCCCTCTCGGGTACTTGCAGCTGCCTGGAATTCTCCTGGTCCCATCTTGCAGAAGGGCTGCTTAATCCGGGTCCCTCTTGGCCCACCCCCTCCCTGCCTCTCCAGGGCTGAATGGCCCAGCTGTAAATGGCCAAATTCTGCCAGGTGGTGGAGCTGGGTAACAGCAACCGAGTTGGGCAGATTGGCTGTTCTTTAGAGGGCCCCTGACTCTGAGTCAGCTGAATCTGGGTCAAATCAGGCTGTTTAGGAACAATTTTGGAATTTGTGATCATTCAATTGCTAAATCATACCCGGCTTTTTGCCGGGACCACAGCATACCAGGGAAACCCCCCCCCCCACTTTCTCCCAATTTCCTTGCGTGGATGACCTCCTCCTCTGCCCTCCCCCTCCCCTTCTGCCTTCCGTCTTCCCCAGCATCATCGGGGTCTTCTCCGAGGAGTCCTCTCTTTCCATTTGATAGCCAGGGCATTTGAGCCTTCCAAAGGGCACCCGGGACCATTTCTCCAGCACCACAATTGGGAAGCATCCATCCTTGGTGCTCGGCCTTCCTCGTGGCCCAACAGCCACACGCGACTCCTGGGGAAACTGGAGGGGACTTTGTGTGCCAGGTAATGTGGCTCCGCTGCGTAATGTGCCGTCTTCAGTTTGCCAAAGAGTTTGAAATTGCAGCCCTCAAATGCAGCTTATTCAGCAAACAATGACGCAAAGGAGCCGGTGAATAACGTCATGTTTGATGTGAATCCAGTCACAGGAAAGGGGGGCTTTGATAAGCGGGGGGGGGAGGGGTGTCAGGAGCTGCAAGAAAAGCTTGTAAGCCAAGAACAGCCAGACGGAGCGGGTGGAGGGGGGGAGATGTTCAACAATGGCCAAAAAGGCAGGGAGTCAGAGAAGGGCTGCTGGAAACACCCACCCCCCACCCCGGCCTTTTGCAGAAATGCATGCTGGATTCTTTTTCTTCCAGCCACAGTGAAGCTTTGGGGGGCTTTGGGCACTGTGAATTCTGGGGCTGTAACTGCCTTGTTTAATCCAAAGGCTGCTTGCCCTTCTAAGGGCCGGCCTGGCTGCCTGCCTAACAAATCTTGTATTTGGCATTCTTGCAATCAGATGTATGCACACAATTCTAGGCTTGGTTAAATAAAGGCTGGGTTAAAAGGTGTATCGGCAAACTGAAGGATGTAGATTGCTGATTTGCAGACAGTGTGGCTGTACAAATGAAAGACAAGCTAACCTCTCCCTCCATTATCTTTCCTTCCTTCCTTCCTTCCCTCCCTCCTTCCTTCCTTCCCAAAATGCCAAAGGACAGAATGCTGTCCTTTGGGCCCCCAGAAGAGGCCCAGGAATGCAACAACAGCCGATGGCTTTTTGGTCCTTGCTCCAGAGGTTTCCTAGCGCCGCGTAACGGAGTGAGCTCCCGTGACTTCTGCCAACCTAGCAGTTCGAAAGCACTGTAAAAATGCAAGTAGAAAAATAGGAACCACCTTTGGTGGGAAGGGAAGAGCGTTCTATGCGCCTTTGCCGTTTAGCCATGCTGGCCACATGACCACAGAGATGCCTTCTGACAGCTCTGGCTCTTCGGCTTTGAAAGGGAGATGAGCACTTTGGGAATGATGAGCACACACATGGGAGAAGGACCTTTACCAGAGCCTCCTGCTGCTGCTGCCTTCTAAGGAAGGATGGGCGTCCACCACCGCCAAGAGAAGGAAAGGCAGCCATCCAACAGGAAGAGCAGCCTTTCTCTGCTTCCTTCTCCCAGCCAAGGGCACCTGGCCTGAGCCCTCAGCCCAGAAAGCTCTGGGTGAATGAAAGAGCTCTAGGCTCTTTCCACCCCTTGAGAAGCCCACCAGCTGCAGCCCAGCAGGTTTGTGCTGAAGGGAATTCTGCAGAGATCTGGGTTAAAGGGGAGCCTTCCCAGCTAAATGGAGGAGGGGGAGGAGGGGAAGTGGGGGGCAGCAGCCTTGGTGCATTGCCTGGGCTGGCTGCAGATGGCAGGCCTGGGGATTGGACCTCATCCTTGGCTGCTGCCTTCCTGGGAGGAGGGGCTGCCTTTGCATCCAGGGACCAGGTGGCAGGAGGGCGGCTTTGGGACGACCCCCCCCCAGTGCAGGCCAGAGAGGGTGAGGCTGCCAGACCCCAGAGGCGCCCTCCCATAGCCAGAGCCTCCTCCCACAGCCCCCTTGTTTGGCTGTCAGCCGCTGCGGGTTGGGGGGGGGGCTGACTGACTGTGGCTAATTATTCAAGCGGCAAATGCTCCCTCTAAACGGGATGTTGAGGGACAGAATTGCTCGTTCGAGGAGGAGGAGGAGGAAGGCAGGCAGAAAACAAATAGAGGGGAAGGCAGCGCAGCGGCTCCAGAGCTCCCCGGAATACCAATTATGGGATAAAGTGATTGGATAAATCTTTCTGCCGTGAATGAACTGTGCAGTCAGTTACTCCTGTCCGGCTCTTATTAGCCAACGGTGAGAAATTATTTCCATCTCGGCTGGGCTCACCTGGCCCGGCGGCCCTCCCCTCCCCAGGGGAGCGAAGGGGAGGGGAAGAGCTCCAGGCCTGGCTGTGTGGGCAGGGTCCCTGCACCACCTGCCCCTCCCACCGGGGTCTCCTCGCCAGCCCAGGTGGGCCCCAGCAGGTGGAGGGAAGCTGGGAGGGGCTGCTGCTTCCAGGGCTCTGGCCGCAGGGCCGAGGCTTCCTACACAATGGCCGCAGGCTCAAGCTTTGCACCCTCAGCCCAGAGACACCCCCTACCCCCCCCAGGAGAAAATGGAAGGGTTAGATGCCCCCCATCCAGCAACGCCTCCCAAGGGTCTGGCTAGAAGAAGTGAGGCCGTCCCTCCCAGAGGAAGCCTTGGGGGCACCGCGGAGGAGCCACAGAAGGGACCACCGTTAGGAGGGGTGTGTGTGCGGGGGGGGTGTTTCCCAGCAGGCTCTGTGGCCGAAAGCCTTCTTACTGAAAGGAACCTCAAACCTGGTTCCTCCCCCCCCCCCCCCGCCGAGTGGGGACTTGGATGGGGGCCTCTAGGAATCCCTGCCTCTTCCTGGTCCTTTAGCCATGCTGGTTTACCAGTAGCCAAGCCTGATATGATCCTCCATCCAGAGTCGGCCTTGTCGTGATTTATGGGCCTGACTCCCTTCCCTCCCTTGCCTGTGATGGAGGGGGCATTCATGAGCGTGTCTGTCTCAGCCCTTAAGCTCTGCAACCGGCAACTTCGGGAAGCCCTGAGCAGCAGAAGGAAGGATGGGAGAGAAGAGGGAAATTGGGAGGTTAGTTGATGCCCAGGAAAGAGAGAGGCCCTTCCTGGGCACCCGGGTTCTCTGGTGCCGGCATTGTCCAGCTTCCCAAGGATTCAGCGAAGGATGAAGGACGCAGCCTTTCATCATCAGGCCCCCTGAAGGCCCCCCCCCTATTAGTGGCTCCTGTTCCTGAGTGGGGGGCAACTCCTTTTGGGAAGAAAGCCCCCCCCTCAAGAATGGCCGCATTTCCTTTGTGATCCTTGCTTTTCTCCTGCCAGCCTCCGGAGTGAGCCTGGGGTCCCTCATCTCTGCCTCCCCCTCCCTCCCAGGGCACGTAAGGAGTGG